CATGTCGGCACAGCCAAAAGCTTGCATTCAAGTGACTGGGAAGTACATGGGAGGCGATTCGGGGCCGCCTCCAAGAAATAAGCTCCTTGTTCCGCTCCAGAATAGCGTGGCTAACTACCTGGAGGTCTATCCTAGCCCGCACGGCAGAGCCTGGCAAGCTACTCGTGTGCCTTCATATGCCGAAAACAGCAATATGGATGGGCCTCATTCCCCTGAACATGAGGAGCCCCCATACGGCAGCGTTGGTAGGACCGCTCGGGAGGCTGCTAGAATCTCAGGGCCCGGAAAGCTGCCTAAACAAAGAAGGCACTAAGATGGCGATCTGTACTTCAACGCACGAACGCTTGCATCCGAAGCTCACATCGAAGAATCTGATGATGCATGCCAGGAAGATCAAGTACGACGTCATCGGACAGGCCGAAAAGGCACCGCCCGCTACACGCCGTTCTCGATACTGGAGAAGAACTGTTCCTTGAACATGCGACAGCAGAGGCGTTGGCGGTGTGGTGTCCTGTCAACACGCCACTTAGCCTAAACATCGATTCGTACGAAAGCTTTACAACGCCGAATCGGACGTTTGAGATGAGAAGATGTGGTCCACTCCTGCTTTGACAATCTTCGTCGCCTACGCACAACATCCAGCTACGACGAAGAAGAACACGAAGCATTCTATATGGAATTGGAGAAGTTCTACAGGGAAGATCATACCTTCTTCAAAGGTCATCGTCGCCGACTTCAACGCTAAGATTGGCCCAAGAAGAACGGCTGAAGAACTTCACATCGGTATTCACGGAATGGAATGGAATGAGCAGAGTGAGAGACTGTCGGAGTTTTATCATGTCGACCAATACATCCATGGTAACTCGCAGTTCCAGAAGCCCTCTCACCTTCGCTGGACTTGGGAGTCACCTGATGGACAGTTCCATAACGAGATAGACCACATCATCTTCAATCGAAGGCTTTGCCTGACCGACTCGCTGTTGTTCCAAAGTTCTACACGGGACCGACCATCGTCTCCTCCGCGCCAAGATTCTTTTGCGTGTTGAGAGAGCAGCAAAGTTCAGGAAGCGAAGTCCCAGGACAGTCATCAACTGGGCCCCTTCGCTTCCCCTCGTCACCTTATGGGAGGATTCCGTCATCGAAAACATCGACGAGGAGTACTATCGGCTCGTTAAACATCTTCACGATTGTGGCAAGAAGGCAGAGAGTTTGAAAGTCACCAAGGAACGTCTGTCTCCGGAAATCTCGGAACTGATACCGCAGCGTGGAGCCGCACGAGCTACAGGCAATCACCCGACTCACGTCCGAGCTGCGAAGCTATGCAGAGAGGCGATAAAGGAAGATCTCAAGGAGCGAAGAGCAGCAAGTATTAGTGAAGTAGCAGAGGCTGGGAGGAGCATCCGCAATGCCCGCCGAAGTTATGCCAGCTACAAGACCAAAATGACCTGCCTCCGACGTCCGGATCGAACAGTTACTGCATCCCGAAGGGCAATGGAGAAAGTCATCCACGACTTCTACTCGATCTCTTCGATAGCCATGTCCATCTGCCTACTTATAACCGCAAGAGGATGATACGTTGTCCCTTCAGTTTTCTCTTCCGAAGTCCGACACACGCCATCAAGTCGGTGAAGAATTGTACAGCGCCCGGTTCCGACAGGGTTAAACCGGAACATTGAAAACGCACCGCCAGTCATCACAGAACTCTGGCTCGACTCTTCACGCGCTACCTGTCGGAATGCAAGGTACCCACTCCGTGGAAAACCAGCAGGACCGTGTTGCTGTACAAGAAGGGAGACCGGACGACATTGGCAACTATCGCCCAATCTGCCTGCTGTCTGTAATCTACAAGCTATTCACACGAATCATCCTAAACAGGATCGGCAAGAATACTAGATGAAGGACAGCCATGCGAGCAAGCAGGGTTCCGAAGAGGGTTCAGCACGATCGACCATATCTCCACCAGTTACGCGACTCATTGAAGTTTCACGGGAGTACAAGATGCCGCTTTGTCTCACATTCATCGACTTGAAGAAGGCCTTCGACTCTGTGGAGACAGAAGCGGTCGTCGAAGCCTTGGGCAACCAGGGCGTCCCTACTCAGTACATCAAGATTCTTCGTGAGCTCTACAGCAACTTTACGACCAGGATCTCACCATTCTACAAGGAGGTCATCATCAACGTCAAGAGAGGGTCCGCACAGGGCGACACCATCTCGCCCAAACTCTTCAGCGCCACTCTCGAGAACGTCATGCGTCAACTGGAATGGGAAGAAATGGGAGTGAAGATCGACGGCCGGCAACTACACCACCTTCGTTTGCTGACGACATCGTTCTTATAACACCAACATCGAGCAAGCGGAGCGAATGCTGGCTGATTTCGACTGCGCCTGTGGTAGTGGTTGGTCTACAATGAACCTAACGAAGACGATGTTTATGAGAAACGGATTGGTTCTGATGCCCCATTCACGCTCAACGGAACGAACATCACCGAATCCTAGCTACGTGTACCTAGACCGGAAATCGATATGATGAACGATCTAGCTCCAGAGCTGAGCAGGAGGAAACGAGCGGAATGGGGAGCTTTAAGAACATCGAGGGAGAGTGAAGAAAACGAAGAACATCCGCTCCGTGCCCACCTCTTCGATTCCGCTGTCCTTCCTGCCCTAACCTACGCCTCAGAGACTTGGACTCTGCGAGGCAGGACGAGCATGCGGTCAGCGTTATCCAACGCGCTTCGAGAGGACGATGCTTGAAATTAACCCTATACACGCAAGTGCAGAGGGAAATCCGAAGTTTCGGAACTACGCGAACGGTCGAAGATCAGGGACGCTGCCGTTTTCGCCAAGGAATCGAAGATAAGGTGGCCGGCACGTCATGCGATTTTGCGATGACCGTTGGACCAGAGCGGTTACCGACTGGATCCTCGGGACGTCAAACGAAACACCTGGACGACCGCCGGCCGAGGTCAGACTTCTTCACGAAAGCTCTGAACGAAAGGAATGATGGACTTCGTGTCCTCGAGCAAGGAGGATCCACTGGACCACCCTAGCACGCGACAGGGACGAATGGAGACATCGCTGGCGCCCGCTCGAGCAAATCGACGATCAACGGGACGACAGGTGATATAGGTGAATTGAATCAGAATCCCGAGCGTCTCAAAAATTATGGACCGACCTAATATATCTCGGTCTCAAAGCTGCACTGAAACTAATGTCATTTTTCATTTTCCGAAAAACCGCCCGTATGGCTTTTTTCTGGGTGAATGGGATTTCTCGAAGTTTTAGTGATCATAACTTCCTTCAAAATCGTTGCTGTGGCACCGACTACCACGAAAATACTGCTGGGTTTAATCTTTCCAACAAGCATTCGCATTACTCTCAAATTCATTCATTTTACAAGAGAAATCCCCGTCTGGATCTTTCCAGGAGTTTTATGGGCCGATTTTTTAACGAAAGTTTGGCAGTTATCGTATTTATAACTATCATCTATAATTTCTCCAACGTTCACGATGGACAACTGGTTTCACGCGAAGAAAAAGTGCTGGGAGGAAGCTTCCTAGCTTGCCTGAATCTCAAAGCTCATTTTTCGGAAACTTTGCTTCTCTTGCGTTTTTTTTTGATGTTTTACTGGGCATTGTTCTTGGAAACAAGAGTTTTGTGGTTTAAACGTTCACTAGGCATTGACTTTCCTTGGAAAATCACTGCGTGAAAAAACTTTCTTTGAACAAATCTGTTTTCTGACCTAAGCTAAGTCAGCCGGCATGACACATTTCTGCACTTTATTTCTTACCAGAATGCTCCCACGAATCCTATCCGTGGTCTTAACGTGGCTTCGGAGTGGCAACGGCCCTTGGCCGGCTAGCACGAAAGTGCCTTCAGAGGATTGAAGAAGCAGAACTCCACACATCCACCTTTAAATTCTGCACAATTATGATCAATGGATTTTTCAAGTATCCTGATCAATGCTATGTCACCCACCCTTATGGGTCAAGCTAGCACGTCCACCGTAACGGACAAACAAGCTAGGAAGTTCTCCGTAAAGGCGCAGACGCAGGCCATCAGGATACCACCTCTAACGTTGGTATTCTGACCGAGCTGCCCAAGTGACAGAAATGCTCAGAGAAAGAAACAGCGACATCTGCGCCGTGTCACAGAATTTAGAACACACGTCAAGGATATACAAAGGATTCTTTGACCAAACGATTCTTTGGCAAGGATCTTATATGTGGCTATGATCTTCAGCGAGAGATTCACACATATTGTCTGTATCCCGCAAGCAAACCTGCACAGTGCCGTCAAAGATCATATCTGGGAGCAACTTGCCAATATACCTCCACGCTTCCAGCCGAAGGAAACCAGTACATCGTGGGAGATCTCAATGGGCACAGCGGCACTGATTATGATCAGTGCGCGAACACACAAGGGCTATGCCAAGTCATTGGAATTAGTCATTGCCATTTCACTCTTCCAAAAGAAGGAGTCACACCTCGTCACATACCACGGTGGAGAGCATAAGGCACAGATCGACTACATCCTGGCAAAGAGGAATCACCAATGACCCCTCGACTGCAAATAATCCCATCGATGAGTGTTAGAAGCCAACATCGTCCCGTTGTCGTCACGATCAGCATGCCGTGAGACTTACCTGTTCCTAGGTGGAACAAGATTAGTGACCTTAGACAAACTGAAAGAAATTACTCATAGATGAAGATCAAGCAAGCCAGGTTTGATAACTTTGGGCAAGACTGTAAACAACTCGTTCGAGAAATCCGAAGCAGTGCGAGTAAAAGTGCGAGTAAAAGACTACTGTCGGCTACAAGAAGGAAGTGCCAGATCGGTCCGCTTGGTTGGAACAGCGATGTATCAGTTTCGATTGGAATCAAAAAAGGCTATAGAACTCGGCACGTCGATTCTACAGATGGGATTAGAGCAAAATATTGTGAAGACAAGCGAGAAAAAACGGATTGCGGCACTCAACACCAAAGGGGCGAAAAAAGATTCACAGTCTTGCCGAGAGACGCTCCAGGGCAACACAAAACTTCACTAGGACTACAACTTTCGTCAAGGATAGTGATGGAGTCCTCCTGAACGACTTCAACAGAATGAATAATTTCAGGAGATCTGTAACGTAGAGTTCCCACATCCATTGCCTCCTGAAGAGCTGTTGATCCAAGGACCCATCCCACGAATAAGTGTGGATGAAGTCAAAGAAGCCGCCAAAAGATGAAGAACGTGAAGGCCACTGGACTAGATGACATTCCTGCAGAGATCTCGAAACAACTCGGGGGCTACTCCTTTCTAACAGGACTCTTCAACAACTGTACAGAGAAAGGAGTACTTCCGGAAGACTGGTCAAAATACTTCACAGGGCTCATTTATAAGAAGAAAAGAGAAATTGCTAATTGCTACAGTTACCGTCATTCGTCTAATGTGTCACGATCTCCGAACGAATTCTGAACGCTAAGGAAGGTAGTCAACATATGGATGCAGTGTGGATTTCGACCTGAACACAGCACCACCGACGCCATTCATATTGCCCGACGGCTGAAAAAAGCAAACGAATTGAATAAGCCACTTCACATGGCCTTTCTAGACCTGGAGAAGGCCTTCGATAGAGTGCCACGTCAGCTTATTCGGAAATTTTTCAGAGATCAACAAGTAACTGAAGCAGCCGTCAAAGCTGTGCAGCTGACCCCTACCTTAACTCCACCACTGCTGTCCTCACACCAGTAGGCGACACCCCACAGTTTCCGGTAATGGTTGGAATCCATCAGGGATCAGCCCTTTCACCACTACTTTTCATTTTTTGCATGGATTATGCCACAAGAAACATCCGGAAGGAGCCACCTCTGACATTGAGCTACGCCAATGAAGTGCTGCTCATGAACCAATCTAAGAAAAAGTTAGAAGGACGTGCCAACCACTCGAAGAAACAACTCTATGATCATGGACTCAAGCTCAACATTAACATAACGGAATACATGAGCACCATCTACAAAACCGTCATTTGTTGTAAATAGAGCACCCTACCTAAGACGGCTAAATTCTCATACCTTGGATCCATGCTTTCTGCGGACACTGACACGAAAGCTGACATGACTGCCACAATTAATGCTTTATGGTACAAATGGCGAACGGTCACCTGTATCCTTCGTAGCAAGAAAATGCCAACACGCCTAGAGCCAAAATATTTATATACCTCAGTTGTGAGGCCTATAGCTACTTATTGAGCACAAACGAAACGGATAACAGTTGACCAAACAGGAGCCTATGGATCCATAGAGATGAAAATGTTGCGATTGTGCCTGCGACATACGCGTCTAGACCGCGTTCGAAATGAACATATACGAGACAAAATTAAACTTCAGCCTATCGCCAGTGCCCTTGCTGCCTCTTTCTGCTGGTACGGCATGTATAACGAAGGCTCCCTGATGCTGCGTCCAAGTCGGCAGACAACATAATGTTCTTCATTACACGTCCAATAGGCCGACCGAAAAGCGATGGCTAGATGACCTGAAGCACGACATGAAAGCTGCGGTCTGCTCTACCCACTGCCAAACTTGACCCGCCCTCCTCAGGTGATTTGTGAAGCAAAAATTACAAACATTCGGGGGGACACTTGCCAATTTTGGGGGAGTGGACAGACAAACAAATTCCGGTTTATGTATTAGTAAGAAGTATGATAGGGTAACTCATGGTCAACCCATACCTCATTTTTCCACGTTTCTAGGATGTTTTGGAAGCGAATCGAACGATTTTTTTTGCCGGTTTTGCCAATATGAACGTGTGTCCCGCCTACTGTGGGTGAAGTTTCTCGTGGCCAATATGTTCTCCCTATAGATGAGCATGCCCAATCTCGGCCCCATTTTTTCCTGCCCTCTAGGGCATTTGGAACCAAAAAAGGTGAATTTTTCACCAAAATTGTGCTTTTTGACGCATGCCCCCACCGTAGGCGGAGTTTCACATAGCCAACATATTGCGCAGCACACTTCCAAAATCTCCCGACTTCGAAAAATGCGATCGTCTCACGACCCTGCTGCAGAACGTTTAGTAACGTTTTTTGCATAGAGGTCGATCAGTTACGGAACCAAAAGGTGGTTGGGAATATTGTCAAACAGCGCATCCGTCACGGTGCTGTGACCACGACAAAATTGTCTGCAGTTTCGACAATATTAGGAGAAATGGCGCGAAAGGCTCAAAGAAAACATAGAATACAAGCTTATAAATACCATGAACGACAAGATCGCTTAGATGGATAAGGAAGGAGCAGAGGTAAAACAATCAACGGCTTGTCGCGCAGGCCGCGAAGGGACTCCGAATGTATACCAACAGGAAACCTATTATATTTCATGCTCATTCGAGAAAATCCAGAAATAATTACTAGGAATCCCGAAGAAACAACCACAGTAGGATCAGCGAAAATCAAATACAATCTCTCAGCTCAGCGATGAAGTGAACCTGCATGGCCACGATATCCTTATTTCAGGGGGGTTTTCGCCCGTGTAGGAGGCAAATATCTGATCAGATGCTCTTCAAGATAGCATTTTGGAGAGAGCTCTCGTAACCTTAACTAATCTTAGCGATTTGATTCACTAGCAAAGGGGCACCCCGGCTCGTGGATTGAACCTTGTGAAAATCTGCTGCAGAGCCGATTTGCACTTTTGTTTTTTGTGAAGGGTAGGCTTTGAGAAAATTCCCGAGTGTGTAGGCACAGTTAGGCAACAAGAACTGTTAATTATTTGAGAGGATATGTTCTAACGCTGGCGGAAGTGGTGTAGTGGCAAGTGGCGCGCTTACCACGCGTGCGGTCCGGGGATCAAATCCTGGGTCGTGAGTCGCCCGGGTCAACCATCCCTCCGGGGTCGGACAGTTGGTAGCGGACTTGTCTGGGACGATAAAAACACTGCCTTGCATATCGGCTGGCCCCCGCAAGTTATTTTATAGGTCACATCGCATTCAAACGCCACTACGAATGTACAAATGGAAGTAGAATGCGTGCCGCATGCGTACGGGACTGATCAACGGCAAATGCTTTATCATTTCTCCTTTATTTATGTTCTACGCTGCTGTACTCCGTATCCTGGTGGGACCGCTCTCGTTCAAATTGGGCCACAATTAAATACTTTGTCATCATATTCATGCCCCATCCTGTTCAAAATTTCCTGTGGCTAACTTAATCAAATGGCTTCGTGAAATTAAAATAGATTACGCCCACACTCTGTTTATTGTCTACAACCATCATCCAGTCATTGAGCGATTCTAAAGTTCGTTAACAGCTAATGCTGAATTATATTCAAAGGAAAACCTTTCTCCTGCCAGGGTGAAAATCGTGTCGAGTACGTGGTCGCAGAAGTACGACCCCCCCCGTAATCGAGATCCTGGGACGACCCCCCAAAACAGAGCAAATTAATTCAATTAGTTATTCAAAATAAATCCTGCAAAATAAATCAAAAAAATCTGCAAACTAATGTTATGGACGCTTCATCTTGTCATCTGTGCACTGTCTTTCATCGCTGTACACTTTTGTGTATTTACTGAAATATCGACACGAGGAAAGAACCATTAACTTTGTGTGACCTCAAGGCGAGGTTCGTTCAGACACGCACAGAAATCCAAGACACGGGGTTGCGATTCAATCTTGATTCTTGCTTGAGTACATCGAAACAGCCGAGTGTATCAGTTAGCGGCCGATTCAACGGCAGCTGCGGCGCGATTGTCACTGGGTCAGATTTGCTGAAAGCCCGAAAAAAAACCATACGAAATCTACACCCTGCGGATGAAAGTTGCATTCTTCTTCAATTCATAACCTTTGAAGCAGTTGAGGTAGGGTTCATAGAGCTGGATTTCGCGTTTTCAAGAAGTATTGAAATTGCTCCCTGAAAGTCTTCTATGCGAGAAAGATAGGTCTCTCAAATTTGGTTGAGTAAACGTCGAGGACGCTGAAATTTTCACGCGAGTTTTTGCCACTTCAAGAGCAATATCTCTCTTAAAACATGAGATCCTGAAAAAGTGAAGATAGTTTTGAGAAGCGAAAGGTTTGCGCTTTCCGGTGGTCTTCTTAGCTTTCTTCTACACATCCTAGTTGAGAAGACATCTGTGTCGGAGTATGTATCGAGGACGGATCCGGCCAACTGAAAATCCGCTCTCTTCTTCACCATTGCAAGTGTAATTGTTGGCAACGCTTGAAATGGGTCTAGAAAACATCCTCCCAACATAAGCAATAAGAAAAAGGGGCAATCGTCATCGTCGAATCTCTGAGTATAGGCCATGCATCCGACCTCACTCGAAGTTGCAGAATCGATTCGAAGGTGTCATGTGACCATGACCAGTTGACAGAAGCTGCATTGTAGTAAACGCATTTCGTAACTCTTACAACCTGAAGAACAACTTCATTTGCCCAGGGCTTTTCCTTCACGGCTGTCGTTTTTGCGACAGGTCCCTAACAACAGTTTCATTCTCAGCGAGGCATTAAGGGAGAAGGAGCGAGCGATAGGCAGAGGAGGTGCCTTTGCAGCGCGTGCGCACATGTGGCAGTCTTCTTTGTGGGGATGCACTTTCATTCTTTGTACTGCCTTCAAATACGCCCTCCTCATGAAGGTGGAGGAATGGAGCGACTGAACCTGCAAAGAAAATATCATATCATTAATATCATGTTTTTTCAGATATTTTCATTTTCTACTGCGCTATACCCTCTTACCTATCTGCACTACGATACCACTGCTGTTACTGAATCTCAAGAGTACGACCCCCCATGACCCAGCCCGACAGGTACGACCCCCCTGTCGAGGATTTCCTCGACCGATATTCACCCTGTCTCCTGCCACTAGTCTCCATTAGAACTCCAACGGTCGATTCACCAAAACCGCTGTACTTTCCTCCACTTTGATTCAGTTGTAAAGGAATGAGACTTTCTCTAGAAGAATCTGTGCTCACTGAAACGTGAAGTATTTTGGAATCCCGTAACAAATCCCGCTTGGGATGCGACATTCATTTGTATGTGGTGCGTAGTCGCAGATGTAGTCGAAAGTCTGTACTCCCTTGCCACTTAGCCATGCTTTGGTTCATTCAAATTTTGTGATTGGTACTATAGGTTGCGAAACCCTCCCCTTCCGCCGGCCAAATTCGACATTCTCGTTGTTCTAAGCGCGACGGGCGGTTGACAACGGTCCCAATACGACCCTCTTTTACCCTCCGCACAACCTGCTTCATAGCAAAATTTTCAGTTTTGGATGCGCGAGAGGGAGTCTGTGCCGCTGAGATGCGAATGCTCCGCGGTTCGAATCCCAAACCAAACTTTGCACAGGCTGCCTTCCCCTTCTTTCCTTTCAGAATTACTCAGCCTATCCTACATTGACTGGAAGTATAAAAGAAAAGGAGATAGTACTACAGGTAGATGAGCAGCTTCGCGCTCCGGTGCAGCAGCAATAAGCGCCCGCGTCATGCTTGCGTCCCGGCTGAAGCAGACCAGTTGCAAGAATTGTCAAATCTACTACCTAGTCGAGAGGCTGTAACTTTCTTCATTTTACCATTTCAAAAATGTAAGGCAGATGCTAAATACACAACACCTCTAGTTGCTAAATTGTACTTCTTTTCATACAAGTGATAACGACCGATGACAATCTTTTGAGCATCTAAGGAAACCGTTATAAGAAGATTCACTCTTTCCGACAGCTGTTGCAGTTGTTTTGAAAAAATTCCAGTTCACGAGAAATTTGCGTCGAGTATCTATTGAGGCGGCTTGCGAGCCAGCCGAGAACCCATTCCTCTTACGGCGGTGCGAGCAACCTCTATGAGAACACTCAAATCGTTTCTTTGATACATTATCTTGATAAATTAAATAGGAAACGATGCCTTGGTGCAAATCCAATCCGTTCTGGTATGCGCCATGAGTAACTCCACACGGAGTCATTTGGAGTCATTTGAAACACTTTTGGTTTGTCTACAAGCCAAACCAAAAGGTACTTCCAGTCTTGATTGATCAGAATGACTCTCACAGCCATAGTAGTACAGTGTGATCATTCCTTCATTTGCGTCGTTTTCTTTCCAACCCTGCTCCGATGGATGCATTTTCATCTGCAGCATGCTTTGGAAGTGTAGATGTGAGCTACATCTACACTACGCTACGCCAGTTGTAATGATGAAGTAGTCATCACAATTTAGCGATCATGACAAAAGGATACACGTCCTCGAGAGGGCCGATTCGTCAGATATCAAAGGCTTTCAGAACAGGAGAATATCGTGAAGCAGTTGGGACTATAGTTACATTATGACCATCTTACATCTCAAATATGACATTGTTAGTTACTGTTAACAGAAACATACCAAACGTGTGACATGTGGGAGCCGCGAGAGCTCTTGAGCATTTTGACATGTATTGTTCCATTTTTTCATGACATTTTTATCAAAATGGAAAGAAAAGTTAATTGATCAAGTTTCTTTTTGCACACAAACGCATCCTTCTTTCCGTCGCAGAATTCGTCGTCCCATGTGCCTTTTTGGTACATCTGTACAGGAAGATAAGACACGTTGCAGTACAAGTGGAAATTGCCTCAATTCCAGGTCGATAAGCCCGCGTCGATCGTAAAAGTCACGTAAAAATACCTTCTGCGGTGCACTTCTAGAGACAACGGTATTGCGTAGCGTAATTTCGATGTGGTGATCACGAACGACATTCAATTTTGGCCTGTGGCGCCATCTGGCGCCAGTTGGCGTCACTTGACACGACACTTCTTTCACGCTAGAATCTGTATAAATTCTGTGTATTATTTGGTGCCCTAATTACGAATACGGCATTAGTTTTTGACGTCAACGTTGCTCGGCACATATTTCTCCGTTGGAGAATGCAGACGAGCGGAAAGTGTGCGCCTAATAGCGCCAGCTTCGACAATAAATGTCGTATTCGTAATCAAGGCACCAAATAATCTCTGTGCAGAAGTTCACACCAGATTTGATGAAAACTTGATGTGACAGGATGACGCCAACTGGCGCCACATGGCACTACAGCTAAGAATAAAAATCATTTTTCTAATTAGGGCGTCGAATTGCCTCTGTAGTCGCATTTACGATAGTATATAAGGTGTTCAAAATTACATTGCACGAATGGAGGTGTTTTTACGCGATATCGGCGCGGGCTTGTCTACCGGAAATTAAGGTAATTCAAAATTTTCCATAATCAGCGAAGGTCCATAATCAGCGAAGTTTTCGTACCATGTGGTTCCATAATCGGCAATCATACCCCCACATGGTACGAAAACTTACCAACTTGCTTTGGTTGTTGATGTACGTTAATGCTGCGAAGCGGGTGTGTATACATAGTTTGAGCCTCGTAAGGTAAAGTAATAAAGAGGGTAGCGTGCACTTCGCACATCTTCGGACTCTCCTGGGGAATGGTCGCACCTACTTGCTTGAACTGAAAGCAAGGGTTTTTTGAAGTTTGCACCAAATTTGGTACAAACTTCCGTAGGAGGTTATTTGGCGCCCTTATGAATACTACATTCTGCCTCGGATCTGGTGCCGTTTATTGCCTATTTTCCGCTTGCCACCTTTCTTCCCTTTCCTGCCTTCTGTGCCCTCTCACTGGTATGATAATATGTGGAAGTTGGAAGAAAGATACCTGCAAGCAAGCCTGTCCATGGCTCTCCTTTTGACCAATTTGTGTATTTTCCTCGCCGTCGAGCCACATCCAGATGCCGCCAGCATGTGCGCCTCCAAGCCAGAAACGAGTTGCTCCGGCTCCGCCGAGTGATTCTGCAACTACTACACACATGGATCCAAATATGTGAAAACGACGAAGACAGCTCACTGCAGCGATAAACTAGGGTCAGAATCGTGAACACCAGCTGTCGATTTCTTTGTGATTTTCTTATGAATCCTAGGAAAAATCCTTCTCCAACGCACTCGCACAACTACAATTCTTCCACATGTTTTTCTACTGCTGCTCCCTTGCTTCACGCATCTTTTTTCGCGGCTAAAATGTCTTTTTACGTAAGGGATGGTGGAAGCTGCTGTTAGACTTTTAAAAAGTGCAGGCTGTCAGCAAAAGAACGAGTTGAATCGTTCTTGTCTTCAGAGCTATCCTATTCTGGGGATAAAATTTCAAATTCCAATGATCTCGTGCTTCGAGCTTCCAATTCCACAATTCAAGTTGAAAGTGGAGGCTATCACCGCTCTACACTCAGACTATTTTGCTTTCACACATGCTAATTTTAGAGAACGATTAACCTTTCTGAGGCTGTTGATTGCGCATTCGCTGCCTGCTGCCTTTCAAAATGACTTTTCCGACTGCGATGACAAGGAGAATCATGTCAATTTGAGAAGCTTGTTCGGGATCGGCACTTAGAACTGTTGCAATGTTACAACGTGTAGATTCGTTACTTCACCCACACCCTGCTCAACCCTTCCTACATCGGATTAACAATTGCTTGGAAAACAAGATCTTGTTAGAGCAATCATACGATAGAAAACAGAAAACTCAACACTTCAAAGTCGAAAAAATCTTCAAACTCGTTATAAACGATTGCAATTAGAGCGTCATTCGGTGCTTCGGAATGTTCACACACCATTCCCAATGATGAGAGACCCGGTGGATTGAAGAGCTACCTAGCACAGTAATGATTGAGAGCAGGGTCAAGCGTGTGTTGGTGATTCCTCGACAAAAGGGAGGCTGAGGGGGAGAGGGAGGGGTTGTCGTACTCGGTTCGCTCATTGGAAAATCGCAAATGGCGCCATCAGATATAATCAAAGCAGCGATAGCTTTCGGGAAAATGGAAGCGCGACTCGCGTTACATGTGACTAGACGTCGAGTGCATGGCGCGTCCCTGAGCGTCGAGCAAAGCCATGCGCTTCAGTTCCCGTTTTCTGCAATGGAGATAAAAGTTTGGATGACATCAACACTATCCGGAAGGGAATGTTCAGGATGACGACGGGAAGTGCACTGCACAAAGAAATTGCAATTTTCGCAGTAATTCAATGAACATATAACAATTTCATGAATATATAACGATTTAGATTAAAGCCTTGCAGCTCCTTTCACACTTATTAGAAAGCAGAAAAACTTGAGTATTTAAAGCTGCCCTCAAATCTGCAAAAAGCTGTCCATGGAAGATGCTACGGTCGCCAATGAATTGACGATGCGACAAAGGAAACTTTCACCAGACTTTTACGAAAACTCTCAAAGGGGCTATTCTCAAGTCATTAGAAATCTAAAAAAAAAATTGAACAGAGAATTTCTTCTAGTCACAATCCATACTAAGTTTCCTAAAGCAGCCCAGATGAAGGACGTTATGGCTCTTAATCCTTTGACTACTGGTGGTACACACCAGTACCGCTTCCGTAGTCAAAGGCACTGCCACAGCGCTGAAGAAAGACAAAGAGATTGTCTGGTTGAGTACGCCACTTTTTGTTCGGAAAAACTAACGCTTCCCTTGTTAGGCGGAATAGATTTGGCGGTATGTCTGTAATATCCTGCCAAGTCCGCCTTTCTTGAAACCCTGGGATTTGTTTTAAAAACAGTGTATAATCTTTTAATGTGGCCACACAGGTTTTGCACGATGGAAACTTTAATTGAGCATTGACGTTTCGAACTAAAGCTCGTCGTTATCAAAGCCTTGAAAGCGTCATATGGCATTCAAATTTTACTATATCCGCTGTGACCAAGTGGCGCCCAACTAATGAATTCAAAGGAAGTTGAGAACCCCAGGAGTGTTCACCTTAACCTTGCACTCCATCAGCGTCACCGCTTTTGGGATCAACAGGCTCCGGTGCGATGGTCTCCAGATAGAGTAAAATAAAATGCAGAAACCAGTCGCTGCATGCTTATAATACAGTGTACGTGCAAGTTGCCATGACAGTTCTATTATTCCTAGTTCACAGAGGGGATCATAGGGTAAAGAAGTTCAGCAGTTTATGGAGATCGCATTTCGTTTCTGTTATTCATTACTAAGGATTACGTTGCCGTATATGAGAAAGCTCAAGGGTTTTTTCCTGCCAGCCAATGTGCGGTTTTCGTAGGCAGTATGTACACCTTGATTTCAAATCGACTACCAGCATGACCTTCCGCTTCTATGCTTTGCTAAGCGGTGCATTCAAAGCTTTCTCTTTTTTGCTAGCCAAGGTGTTTCTATGCACTCGTATTCCTACTGTCTGCCCCCAGTTTTCTCCAATGTAACAAGCAAGCGTTAATGTCCAGCATTGAAAGCTGTAAACCATCAGAAACGTTGTGCCGCAGTCTTCCAACGCTTTCCATACGGCAGATCAACGCCGTGTTTCGCCTGATTAGAGATTCGATCGTTAAAGTCGGATTTCCTACCAACTGCGTGTTTATGTTGTCTTTTGGTACTGTTGAATCGAGAGACATTCGATTGGCCAATTCTGGGATGCTCTTCTAAAGGCATTGCTATGTATAACTTGCGGTAAAGCGATCCGATATAAACGAAGCTGAAGATAATTAGTATTACTTCTCATGTCTCCGTATGAAAACGGACTCGGTTCTGCTTCGCTTCTAGGCCGCCTGCCTCGCGTGTGTAGCCATTAGAGAATTAGGCAATTGACAAGCTAATGCGTGTCTGGCTCTTTCCGCTCCTCGTGTCACGTGCCACCCTCCACAGCGTTCTTGTACATGCTTACGCAATACTGCACGTTTAACTGCTCTGGGTGTGCCGACAGGCGTGAATAATGATGTTTTTTAGAGCTTTCTTTTCTATACCATTTCACAAGCTGTTATGTTCCATTGAAGACCCTAATCTGGGTGTGCAGATAGGGTAGCCAACCTCGCCGGCGGGACTATCCCGTGTAGCTTGATGTACTAGCGACTGACTGTTAAGAATATTGAACAAACGTCGTCGCATTTCGTCTTGAGTTTGATGTGTTAATAACAAAAACAGTCGTCGAGGTATAGCGGCAGTAGATGATTGGCAGGCGTTCTGGCACTGGGCGTGTCAATTCTACTCGTCATGAAACAGACAGCAAGTACGCGGTGCTGAGCCGCCTGCCCATTGGCAAGCCCTCTGATTTGTTGAGAAATATTTCCGGAGACCATCTTAGAATATATTTTGCCATTTTAAACACTCCTTGCATGAGCAACCTTATTTGAGCTTACTCAACGCCGAACGTCATTATAGTTTCTCTCGCTGCTCGTCGAGCATTTTCCGAACGGCTGTGCCAAGCTTCGATTGTATTGCCTGATCGATTAGTGTTAGAGTGCCAGACAACGTCAAATGATTCTACAACACAGTCGTGTTAAAGCGCTGCCACGAAACGCAAGCGGTTCGCAGAAATGTCCACCGTGTGTTGACAACCGATGTGATGGTATCTGAACGAGAAGTTGACCGATAATCTTCATTGAGGAACCCATGAAATCGATCGGTCACGGTCCACTTACACAAGCCTGATTATTGGCCTTATTTTGTATTACTGTTGCGGCAGGAGTGGACCCTCATGTTTTCGAGCAAGACAGATTTGTGAGTCTTGATGAGGTGTTGAAGACGGGACACGTTGGGGTTTTCCAGCTTCAAATCTTTTTAACGACATTTTTCTATCCAGGTTTGCTAATTGACCCGTATTTTTTGCCCATAGAGTGACATTTCAACCTATGCGCTTGCGTTTGAAAGGCTTTTTCCGTCGAAACTCGGTAAAAGTTCAATCTGCCAATGGAGTTCTGTGTTTCTCTATCCAAGGATTGAGGTAACACCACAAATTCCCACCTTTGTCGGCTGCGGAAAGGCGTATTTCCTGCGTGCTATTCTTTCCCTGACTTCTTAAAACCCTTCCAACTGTTCTCTTGTCAAGTTGGAAGCTCTTTCGCGCTTGAAATCTACTAAGCGCAGCTAGTATCGCCCCTGATGACAAAATTCGGAATTTGAATATCTGCTTCCGGAAGTGGTGTGATTCTTTGTGTAAAATGATGAGAGGGAATGAAATAGGCGTTGGATAACTACGCTCTGGCCTCTTCGAAACTGTGCCCCTGCGAGTCGCGGCGTGTTTTTATTCGCAAATAGAGTCTCTGAACTTTTGCAGACCGCACACTATTTTCGAATCCGTAAGTGATTGACGGCTTTTGCCGTTAATGAGAAGACGGCCCAATTTAAAAAATCCATCGCTTGGAAGAATATGTTGAGCATTCTCCAACAACTGTGACTTCTTACCGGCTCGGACTTTGTGGTACGTCTGCTGACGCGTCTCTTGCTCGGATTGGCTGGATGTTCATTGAAAGTGGCCATGTACCAGAATTTCCCACTCGTTGTTCCAGTTTTTAGAGAGGTTGTACTTGTGCACAAGCTTGGTTTAGCCGTTAGCACGGCATGATGCATCAACAGATGCGCTTCGATTCACTCTCCATCGTACTCCACGTGTCTTAGCGTAGCAGTCGGCGGCAAGATTCTTCTTTCCCAACACATTTCAGTAATGTCGAGATTACAGCAGATTGTTGTTTTCCTGATAGGGCGACAACCAAGCAAGTGATCGAATAGATTTTCATTATTCTGGGGTGCGTATCAGGTAACCGCATATTTGATACCGAGCTGTCTTTATCCAGTAATGAATTTTGGAATGATGCCGGTCGATTCTGCGCGCTGTAGGAAGACAGAAGATTGTTGGTGAGTACCACTTTTTTGCTCGTAAACGATAAACGCTTCCCTTGGTTTGGCTGGACATAACATTGGTACTTTGTGCGTGTATACTATACGTAATTATATACGGTCTAATATTACGTATATGTACTGGATATACGGCAACGATAATATCCTGGTCATGAAATAACAGCACACGAATGTGCCATCTCTCTATAAACTAGACTGATTCTTACCCTACCTATATCCCCTTCGATGTGAACTAGGATAATGAAGAACGTCATGATTGGCACGTACCCACTGTAAATATAAGCAAAGCACGACTGAGTATGTCTCATTGTATTTTAACTGCTATCTGGGAATCCATCGAGGGAAGCTGCTGATCCAAAAGCGGTGACGCTGGTGGAGTCAAGGTAGGTGACACATTCCGGGTTCTCACTCCTTGATTCATTAGCTTGGGCGCGCAACTTGGTCACGAAGCGGCATAGGTAACAATTGAATGCCATATGACGCTTTCAGGCTTTTGATAACGACGAGCTAGTCGAAACCTCAAGACTAATAATGTTTCCTCGTGGCAAAACCTGTGTGGCACAAAAAGATTATAACAACTGTTTAAAAGCAAATCAGGTTCAAGAAAAGGCGGATCTTGGAGGCATATTTACAGGACATACGCCAAAATCTATTCCGCCTAACAAAGGCGAAGCGTTTATCTTTACGACAAAAAGTTGGTAGCTCACCA